GCCCCTTTCGGAGGACCACGCGATTCTGAATGGAATTCAAATGCATGGCGCGTCGTGCTAAGGCAAGCCACTCAGTTCCCATTTACACCTCGTCTGATACGTAAACACGGTTTCAAGCACCGCGTTGCGCGTCTTGTACATCGACTAACTCCCTATAATTTGAAGGCAAGCCCCGGAAAACTGGTGATGAGAGCGCTTCGTAGTGATGCTGAGCTGCGGAACGGCCTGAAAAAGGAAAGAAATCTTTGGGATCGCTGAAATTAAGGCCTTAACCTTCAAAAGGTCGGATGTGGAACGATGGCGAGGCAGGGCGGTCAAAGAAGACAAAACACGCGAGAGATCACGCCGTTCGAGAGAGCACGCCGATATCGAGGTGGGTGGGAAGCGTTGCAACGGGGGTCGATGGTTGCAGGCCCGTAAGGATTAGCGCCCTAACCGCGCAACTTTTGCGGCGAAGCTGGAGTGATCTAGGTAGGTAGGGACCTTACAATTTCCCTCGCGGTATCCTTCCCACAAGTCGGGCTAATCCCGGGGTTTGCCTTTAATGTAAATGTCAATTTGCATTCCAAAATTACCACTGAAACCGAAGTGTGGCGCATACCAGGAAAGAACGTACCACTACCTTGCGTTTCACCCTTCTATGCAGAATTTCTCCTGAGCGGTATATAATGAAATTTATTATATTCTCTACATGGTCCTCTATTTCAGTATGGTGTTGACTATATTCCATCGGTGATCCCGGTTGAGATGTCATCAGATGGTCGCTGCCTCTGTCCGACGAGTGAACAACACGGAGCATGCAGTTGTATAGCAGCTGATTGGAAACGAGTACGACTACAACGTGAGTAGCCTCAAATCGATATATTGATCAACCGACATAATGAAACCACAAAAATCGACCAATCTGATAAGATTGGGCCTCACAATATACATAATGTTCAGTGTGGTTTAATTACTATGGGCATTTTCAGGCATTGAATCGCCTGCGACAGTGGTAAACGTCACTATTCCTCCAATTGCACGACCAGCCGAGGAAAATAAATATTGGTAAGGACTCTGACACAAAAATTTCTAGTTTAATTTCACATCAGCTTAGATTTTTACTTCAGTTTTTGTTTTCATATCGAGCTTTTATCTTGACAGTACGTCCACCAACCTGTTTCGTAGAGGATTTCTAAGAAAGAAAAAAGACGGAAATGGCAGCGCTATTTCTAAACGTGAAGGGGGATTGCCTTGCGGCTGCGGCACTTTAAATCCGCGAAAAATGTTGTAGATCATTTTTGGGCCTGCTTTCGGGGCAGGGGGAACTCGATTAGGTGTTTGAGCAATTTTCATCGTTCCCGGAATTCTTCCACTCCAGTTTAAATTTTGGGGTCCCTCCCCCCATCTTGCATAACGCCAAAAATTCTTCTTAAAGGAATCCTCCACGGAAAAAGCTCCGCCCTCATTACCACAGAAAACGATACCTTAAAGGAATCTTCCACGGAAAGAGTGATCATTTTGTCTTGTGTGTAGGATTAGTATTATCGAAACTAACGCTTATGTTCCGTTCTTTTTGCTATGCTCATGAGGCTAGGGGCCTAAGGGGTATCGTTTTTCTGTGGTAATGGAGGCGGAGCTTTTTCCGCGGAAGATTCCTTTAAGTAGTCTCTCATGCTATTGTATAGCATAAGTCTCTCGTTGTTTTCCCACGAGCCTTTTCTCATAAGCTGTGATCATGCGTTGTCTATTGAGGAGTCAATGTACAGCTAGGTGCTTCAATTATTTCCAACAAGTTTACTAGGAATTTACCACCTCCAGGGGGATGTCGGGGTGGGAACTTGTAGCAGAACTCGATTTAGAAGTCCACAGATCGGGCGTAGGTGGCAGCAATTCATTTCACTAACCTAAGCGCACCCTCGCTGCCACCATACTTTAGTGATAATAGACATTCAACTCCATAACGCAATTCCCTTTTGCTTCAATACCCACAATCTGCTTCTGCTGCAGAAGCCCACTTTTCTTAAGTTTTGCTCATCATTCGCTCCCATCATCTCGCTATCGTTCCTTACCCTCTCTTAATTAATTCAAAATAAATGGGTGTGAAGCATAAAACTGCTACAAGTATGTTTGAATCACTCAACCATGTTAGATGAAATTGGAATGCATGGCGTAACTGAAAAAGCTACGCCCGTTCTCTCCATCCTATGATGCAATGATTTACTATTATGGTACTTTCAGGCCGCTTTACGCTGTCGTCATCGCGCTGTGTCTTCTGCTTGCGTTGTGTGCGATAATCACAGTGTTCTTGATGTTCTACAGAAAATACACCAAACGCGGAAAGGTGGTGTTCCCTCATCGATTGATTGGCACGATTGAATCTCCTTCAGTAAGCTAATAAGCTACTTTGCAGTCCGTACGTATACGTTTCATATCCGATCATATCAACAGTAACGGTATGGTAGCTGCCGAACCCCGTGCTCCGTTGATTTACAATTGTGGGTTTTTTATCATAGAGGCAATCGTTCAGCTAGTACTACTTATGAGTAAAACTAGCCGCCGTCACGAGTTTGATGAGGTACTGGTGAAACATATCGGCTCGGCCGAGACTCGAATCAGAGTTTCGATCCATGCACGGGGTCCGACTTTGAGTCCCAGCTAAGGCAAACCCTCTTGGTAAGCTTGAGATGGTTTTCGCATCGTGAACTGTGCCGAAGAGTGACCGTCAATAACAAGCAAAGCAACTAATAGACGCTGAGGATAGGAAGCCCTGAGAGAAGTTTTCCTTTTACGCTTTTTTGGGTGGTGAGCAGATCGAAACGCGACGCTAACGCCCGCAATTAGAATGCACCCGCTATTTTGGGCTAAGCAAATGACTTTCCTCAGGCCAAAGACAGGATTTAG